CCTGAATGTCGGGCCCTCCGACAGCGCCCCGCTTTTCTGCCCTGGGCAGCTGCTGGTTATGCGCATGTGTAGCCAGTGCCTTGACACACTGGCCAACCTCTCAGTATGAACTAATAGTGTGGCACATTGGTGTTCAAGAGTGTCGTGCCAACTATTTACCTCCCCCCCCCCACTCCCAGCGCGCAGTGAGCGACACCGCAGCAGTGAGCGGGCTGCTATTTGTCCCCCCCTTTCCCCACAGCGCCGTGGCCGCTGCTGCCTGCGCACGTGGCCATCTGCAGTGCCACGTGCCAGTTTGCTGAGAGCTCTGAAGACTGCCCTGGCTAGGGGGCTGCACTACAGTGGAATCTGAGTGGCCAATCGATATCTCAATCTCCACCATATATTATTATCATTTATTTTTTTAATTGCTGCAGCAGCAGCGTGCCAGTGACTTGAAGGCCAATATCTTATGGATCTTGGTGATAATTTCTGCTCTTGGCCACCCAAGAGCTTGGTATCATCCCCTACTCACTAATTACCTCTCCAGCCCCTTTTTTTTCTCTCTCATCCTTCCTCTCATCATCCTTTTCTAATTTTACCACGAATCCCTTACCCTTTCTCAACCTTATGTCCTATTTTTTTCACTTCTTTCCCCACTTTTCACTCGTCTTGGACCATTTTTTTCTCTCCTCTTCTTGTCATTCACCCTCTCCTACTAATCTCTTATTCTACTCGATGGGGGCAAGGAAAGAGGTGAGTTTGGCGTGGAGGTCAGGGGAAGTGATACTTGAGATGCATTTCGTCTGCATCATTTCAAGGAGGTTTGTCTCTTCTCTAATCTCTAATCTTTATTTAATACTCCTAAAGCATAACCCGGTCCCCACGTGATACACCCTACCGGGCCCAGGAAAATTGCGGCACTTGAGACATCGAAACGTCTCAAATCGCGCGTGGGGCTGTGGAGGGAAACCAGTCCTGCGCTATCTGAACTTTCCTTCCTTCATCGCGACAGATTGAAATCGGGTTGCTCCTGTCTTCACCTCATGTTGGAATAGAAGTACACAGCAGTCCGCACGGATGGGAAGAAGACCTGCCATCTCCAAGTAGCCACCCCATTTCACAAAGACATTTGTTGAGACCTGCCGGCTCTCTCCCCGACTCGTTGTCTCTCTCTCCCCGACTTGTTGCCTCTCTCTCTCTCTCTCTCTCACACACACACACACACATGATGGCGATGGTGAGCAACGGCATGCACAAGGATGGCTTCATGACGATGATGACAACCGGCGATGTCGACAGCAGACCCCCCAAGCATTTTTTTGGGGCATGGCATGGTGAACCGGGCATGGAAGGAGGGTGGAGGCGTGGTGCAGGGAAAATCAGGGGCCATTCGACTTTCAACGGGCCCTGACTTTCGCCCCACATGGACTCCGGCCTCCACCCACTCCTAACTTGTGCTGCAGCGGTCAGGTGTGTGTAGAGGGTGTGCAGTGGGGAAGCGTCTGCAGTCAGCGGATACTGCAGACACAGACTGTGGTCTGCTCACAGACGGCAGGCAAACCCCACTTGTGCACACTGTTACGAATTTTAAGAATCTCAAATACTTCCATCCATCATCTCAGTAACATACTTCGTTGAGATGAGATCACACTTGGCTACAACTCCACAAAAATGGGAATGGGAATTGTGTAGGAAAAAAAAGAGGGAATAAAAAAGAGGGAATTGAACAATCACACCCAAATCATACATCACACACACATGCATCACACAGCCACCCACCCACCCACACGCATCAGACAGACACACACAACGAAGCAGTTTTATGTATGTCATTTTTTCTGGTACATTCTGCGTCTAAGTAAGCACCTGTAAGAAGTCCTGAACAGTCGGTGGTGGGTTGTTTGGATTGCCTGTAGCATTATTAGGGGGGGCGTTCAGTGAGGGATGTCTGTGAGTACAGTTCCATGACCGATGACAGATGTTCATCGGAGTGACTCCCTGGCTCAGCAGATGGTGGGAACGAACACTCTGCAGGGTTCTACTTGTGGTGTGAGTAGGTTATGGATTGCTGTGTGTGTGGATTGCCTTGTCTGCGCTTCTCTGCTGCCTTGCTGCCTTGCTGCCCACCCATCTGCCATGCCTTTCCCTGCAGCTTGACTGTTTGCCGTGTAGTTTTGGTTTTGCTTCGTGCCTCGCTGCATTGCTGCCTTCCTGCTCATCCGCGTGTCTTGCTGCCCATCTATGTGCCTTGCTGCCCATCCGCGTTCCTTGTCTTCCTGTGTGTTTTGCTCGTGCCGTGTAGTTTTGGGCGCTTCTGCAGCACTGCCTTATGCTTCGCTGTGCTGTTGCCTTGCCACTCGTCCACTTGCGCTGTCTCTCCATCCAGTTCACTTCGGCGCTGTGTAATTGGGCTGCCCTGTTAGCATTGCCTGGTGCTTCGCTGGGTTGTTGCCTTGCTGCAGTTTTCTGCTTGTGGTGTTGCCTGCCGGCTGTCCGCTTTTGCAGCGCTGCCTTGTGCTTCGCTGTGCTGTTGCCTTGCCGCTCGTCCACTTTCACTGTCTCTCCATCCAGTTCACTTTGTCGCTGTGTAATTCGGCTGCCCCGTTATCATTGGCTGGTGCTTCACTGGGTTGTTGCCTTGCTGCATTTTTCTGCTTGCGGTGTTGCCTGCCAGCTGTCCACTTTCAGCAGGGGTTAAGAGAGTCCATGCCTCAAAGTGAAATGGTTCACGAATCTTGTCACCCCGGTTTCAGTCCTGAGTCCCGACTCCCGAGTCCCAGGTCCCATTCTGTCCCGTTCCAAGTCCCAGGTCCCATTCTGTCCCATTCCAAGTCCCAGGTCCCATTCTGTCCC